GTTGTAAAAGAAATATACCATATATATATATATGAGAGGAATATTTTGCAAACCAAGCCATTTATATAAACCGTGAAAATCGTCGATTTCATTGTATATTACCAAAATATTTTCATGAAATTGTTTAGTATGATAAAAATATTTCAAATAATTCATTTTAAATAATTATGAATATTATCATCTTTATTCTATTAACTTAGTAAACCAATTTCATCAAAATAAGAATTATATGAAACAATTTAATTTTTACATATAAACAAAAATATATAAACATTTTCATCAAGAAATTAATTATTTGAAACAATTTCATCATATTAAATAATTTCATGAAAATTTTCTACTAAAATAAACAATGAAGTCGACGGTTTTCACGGTTTGTATATATAGTTTAAATTACATATATCCCTCTCCTATATATATATATATATATATATATATATATATATATATAAACTTTTAATATTTTGGGAACCATCTTTTTTCTTTTTTTAAGTATTCATGATAAATAACATGATAAAAATTCATAATTAATATCGTGATATATATTCATAAATAAAAAATATTCTTTATGAACCTTCACAAACTAAATAGTTGCTAGAAGCCTAGAATATTTATGGTTCTTAAATAAACATACCATACACACACAGAGACAGATAGACAGACAGACACACACACACACACACATATATATATATAAAGGCTTAATCATTTCAGAATTCTAAATTTTGTAAGATCCGTGAAAACTTCTATCTTAAGGTTTTGTTTTACATAATTTTTTCCCATCTTACCCAATATAGTATTTAATGTATTGATTAATATATATTTGATTCACAACGTATTTGTTTAATATGTATTCGATTCACAATATGTAAACCATTTTACATGTATATTGTTCAATAAACATACCAAAAAGGTTCACATTACGAACCAAACACATATAAAACAAATATGTTATTTATTATATTAAATTCTAACCGTAAATTAAAAAAAATCATATAAAATAACACATGATACATTAATTTTCATATATCCTTAAAATTAAATCAATCAAAATCTTCATCGCAATATTGCGATACATCCCTAAAGATTAATATTTACATGAGCCTTAGAAGCTTCTGCAAATTAGGGGTTGTTTATCCAAATATTTACCTGGTAAGTGTTTACCTATGGGAGTCAACACTATAATTTATTTTGATAAGTAAGATTTTAGTACATCAAAATGTATTGAATGCAACAATTTACCGGGTAATGCTTACCTGAGTAAGAGTCGTAAACTTCACTTACCGAGTAAGACTCTCCATTCTTCTCAACCCTCTTATCCGCTAAGATTCTTGGCTCTTGTTATATTCATCCGATAAAGAAATTTATTCAGAAAACACTTACCAAGTAAGCGTTTGGTAAATGGCCCCTTAGTTTTCAATATCGAAAGCCACAATATTCATTTAATATTCCAAAATTTCATTAATTTATATAATGATAATAATACACTATAATATAAAAACATTATTGTGATAATAATTTCACAAAC